TTTCACCTCCAAATGGTGTGCATGATTTTTCACCTTGGAATTTCGAAAAAGGTGCTAGACGTCACTAAAGGATAAAGTGTACCGTCAAAACTAAAGGATCGTTGACAGAATTGTTCCAAATCAAAAACTAATTTTATCTACTTTAAATCAGTTACTCAGAATCGAGGAAGACTGCATGATGCAAAACAGCGTTGTCTTCAGTTGCAGGCAATTGATAATCGTCAATCAGAGATACAGCTTCAACTAAACAACGTCATTTCTATATGATCCTTTGGTATGTAGATGACGTCATACCCAACAACTGTACTGCTAATACTTGCGGAAAGAACATGATATGTCCATTGGAGTGTGCCAAGAAGGGAAAGATTTTTTGGGCATTACTAGAGATAATTATCACAGGTGTATTGCCCAGTACTGCGGCGATTGTGGAAATTTGACTGTCATTTAACTGTCAGACATCAAGGGACTGTCCTGACCAAAGATACTGGCATTGACCATGAAGAGAAAAATTGCATTCGATTGGCTCCAGTCATCCAGCACATTTTAGCACGCTGCTTGAAATGTTCAGTGATAGCAACAAGCATGACCATCTATTATGCAGTCATATTTAGGGTACTCGTTATCCCCTCGCGTCCTTTACAGTAATGATACGCTGTGAATTGCTGCCAGAGCGCTTCTGATAGAATGATGGTACTCAGGGCATCGAACGCCCATTGGCTGATGACCATTGCTCTGAGAAAATTGTTAGAAGAATTTGGGAACCACGATGTAGGACCATAAGAATAGTTAACCTCTGTTTTGCCATGTGAAAAAAGAAGCACAAAGGATCAACGCTTGATTTAAGTTGATAAAAGGGCCTAAAAACAAGTAGGAAACTTGTTGAAATCCATTTTCCATGGGAAGCTTCCAGTGCGTGACACTTGTCGACGGACGACACGAATCTGCTACTTGTCCTTTTGACGCAGACCTCTTTGCAATGAAGTATGTGACTTTTGCTCTGACTATGAACGCCGCTAAATATGAATTGACTATGCTAAAATTTCGTATAGTTCAAACGGAACACACTGTTGTTTAAGCTTTATAGGGCTTTTACGGTAATAACAGCGACAGCAAGAGAACTGTGACATACCATGTAGCATTGACCGATGCCGAGTAAAATGAGAATGTGGATGACTGCTATCTGACAACAAGCGAGGCAAGTCAGACGCCTGCTTACAACTGAGAAACATAGGGTCGTGCCTTGTCGTGCACACGGCATGAACACCTGCGTCAGACGCCCGTTCTCGCGGTTGGTAAGATACTTTGATGTTAATCTACATGGACGTCCAGTTAGGACAAATTTCGAATTTTAAAGAAAAGAAATCAGCAAAGAGCCTCGTTGAAGCGATTTACAAAGTATCGTTTTTATTCGTTCAATTTGTCACTTGGCATAGATATGTGCTTACTAATTTTGTTACTTATTTATTTTCCTACAGAAGGAACCCTATCCCCTCCCATTTTTTTCAATTTGAAAACTGAATGTAGCTTTATGTGAGAAATTAATTATATGATGTGTCCATTTTTCTTACGGGATTGCTCCCATAAAACAACTGTTTTATTACTGAAATTGCAAACTTTTCGAGTCATACTTGGCTCAGTGTCAAAACACAATGTACCGCGTATGGTTCGAATGGCCAGTAGTTTCTTCAATGATATCTGTACCCATAAGATGCATGATCACCTGCCTACTGTATTATTTATTTTCAGCTGAAACACGGTTATTTTCAGCTTACTGAAGTAAGGTTTTTAAACTTATTCATTGAGCTGCATGAACTAGTTACTTGGTTAACACGATTGTGTTCTTTATACCTTGCTTTGAAAAAATAGTTTATATCTCTGTTTTCTCTTTTCTGTAACAGTTCAATTTCAGAATTTTTTTCTGGCTTCCGTAATACTCGACTGCTGGTACATAGCACAATGCTGCCCATAATGGCGCTCATTTAAAGAGTGGGCAGCACTGCTGTGAAAGTGGGGCTATGAGTGAACGCCAAAGACATAAAGATTCTAAGAGCGCCTGTCCCTATCAGCAATCCGAGGATATTATGGAAAGACATCACGTTGGACGAATTGGATCATTTTAAATACCTCAGAAATGCGTTGTCTCTCGATGGGGACAACGATGCTGAAGTCAATAGGCGTGTCGGAGTGGCATCAGTGAATGGTGGTGCCTGTATAGCATATGGAAGTATCAGACTAATAAAACGTACAAGAAGGTCACTATTCGGATTCAAGCTGTATTCGAGACGCTCTTGTACAATCTCGAAATGTCCGCTGTTCTGAAGCGTCATGAAGATCGTCTAGACAACTCCAAACAACGTTGCATGCACAGCATCCTCAAACTGTAATAGTACCACCGGGTCGGAAACAGGCAGTTCTTTCAGAGCACTATCTGAAAAAAAACTATCAGATGATCTAAGAGACCGACGTCTACCTTTGTTTGATAAAACGGCCCAAAAAATAAAAATATATTTCAAAAATTTTTTTTGTAAACCACGCACTGATCGCATACGCGTGGGAGGCAATACAAAACATGCAAAAACTTCATTGAGGGCAGATCTGTTTGCGGAAATCAATATTAACGTTGCCATAGCAATCCAAAGTACCATTTATAACGGTCAGGCATCATAAATCTGGGCTGTTGAAACTCCTTTGACCTCATGTAACGAGAAAAAAATTAAACAATAACACATTGCACAGGCATATGTAGTAACAGTTCAAACACATATAAAGATAAATTTATCGTCATCTGTATATTTTGTCACATCATATGAATTAATTTTTTAAATCAGTTTTTCTTCCTTGATATGACTTTTGATTCGATGACTGCCTTGCTTTTAGCTAGATTCGGTTATTGATCCGAAAGGTGATAGATTTTTAAATGCCCTGTCCATCAGCGTGTCGTCGAAAAGGATGTTCGTTCGCGGAAGAGTGCTTAATAATCCAAACATTGTCTTTGGCGATAATTTACTGGTTTGAGCTGACAGTTTCTAATTCGCCAATAACCTTCATCTTCAGGTACCAGTTATTGGAGGAGAGTGGAATTTGCGGCGAAAATCTTTTTATCGTCCTGCAACGATCCCCTGTTGGTCTGTCGCCTGTTTTGCGGACCCTCTAGAGTTGCCAAAAGAAGGGCTGAAGTAATTTAATTTTTCAATTTTTTTTGCAGCTCTTAAATATGCTAGCACAAAAGCATCTGTTCCTAGATGATATAAGGACAGTGAGTTATGCATTGTGGGAAGGTATGTTTGGTTTCGTTTGCAGAACGTGTTTAAACTGTCTTTCCATAGCTGAACGATGCATGCATATTGTTGCTCGAATTATTGGGATATGGCAATATCGTTCAGCGCGAAATAATAACAAACAACAAAGTGCACTATTTCATGCTTAAGCGGTAAAAAAATTAATTTACTATTTACGCCGCTTATCACCAAGCGGCGATGGGTCCTTCATAATTTGAGCCAAGACAGGAATAAGCCGGATAAGTTCTCAGTTACGTCTGAGAGTAGATGTTCACCGTTTTGGTCTCGTACTGGGATCATGCAAGACGACAGAGTCGGATGAAGTGCATGGTTGCTGTTGTAGTCAATGCTGGTGTTAATACAAGCGGCGCGGAATGCGAAGATACGTTCCGAGAAACGCATGGGGGGAAGGCCTAGGCAAAAATGGAAGCATGAAGAAGCATTTGGTGAAAAGAATGAATTATTCGGATCAACTTCCTCAGATGAATAAAGTAATACAGCGCTGTTCCGCTACTAACAGCTTCACGCGTTCGGATCAAGAAAAGCGTTGGGACATCATTAATTTGGCTATTCTGTCTTTGACCCTGATACCGCAAATGGCGATTATGACAGCAACAACAACTTGAGATAAAACGATCCAAAGCTGTTACTCGGAGAGTTGTATGTTCAACATCAACAAATTTGGAAGGAACATTGTATAGGAATAGTGGCTGAAGATTTTTTTGTATGGTTATTTAAAGGATTCATCGATCAGAACTTTTCAGAATTGAGCGGCAGTAACGTGTCGAACTAACTTTTGATAAAACTTGGGAGATTGATTTGTTTGTGAGATGTGGAGATGTTGGTTATGGCTGTAGTTATTGTTGGGTCGTCGTAATATCTGGAGATGAACCTCAGGTCGTCAAGGCAGAAGATATAATACGGTGCCTTACAACACGCCAGAGTAGTCTACTGTACCTATGAGATCCGACGGCCAAATTTTTTTTCGCTGGTAAAATAGTTGCCGATCCATTGAGGTGTTTTTATCTAATTTAATTAAATCCAGTTTATCCTAAGTTTTAATCACGAAACGTAATAAATGCATACATAAAGTATAGGG